GGGTGGATGGCTCCCCTCTGAACCTCAGGTGTGCGGGGTGAAAGGCACCATGCCCCTCTGCCCAACCCCTTGCTCCCCGCTGTGGTCTCCATGCAGCTTTGCTCTTCTTCACAGCTTCTGGAGCACCGGGGAGCCCAATGACTCCGGCAATGAGGACTGCGGCACCATGGCGACCGACGGGCGCTGGAATGACATAAACTGCTACATGACCGACTACTGGATCTGCGAAAAGGCCTGGCTCTGCTAGAGCCTGGCTTGGCCGCCGGCCCACGCCCTTCCTGAGCCATGGGCTGAGGGACCAGGCCCTGCCTCCTCCAGGTCGACAGTCTCCCCAAGCTGTGTTCTCTTGGTGATGCTCCCCGTCGCGCAGCTCTTTCTGGGAGCCGGGAGTTTTTCCGAATCCCTAGGGGGGATGGTATTTCTGCAGTGTTTCCTAGTGGGTAGGGCATCAGGCTGGAGCACAGCAGACCTGGGTTCTATTCCCTGCTTCATCCTGGGACCTTGGACAACTCCCTTCCCCATGCCTCAGTTTCCCCTTGTAAGGGCTCAGGCTGTATCACTTCTGAATTTTGGATGATTGTATGACACTGTACTATGAAATGGCTGGGTCATGGAATGCCTACGTGTGTGTGGATGCCCCAGGGGGTAGCAGGGTCGGCATGTCTCTGCCAGGCCAGACACAATGGGAACGGACCAGCATGCAACATTACGTTAAACACCGTGGGACAATGAGTTTCCTCTGCCTCGGAGATGGCGCTTTCTGCTCTTGTCCAAGGTGAGGGGGGCTTGGAAGTAATGGAAAGTTACCAAAAGGCAGAATGAAAGAAGCAGCAGTATAGAATGGGACACCCAGGGGGGGAGCGTTCTTGGGGACAGAGCCACCTTGCACCAGATTAAGGGCTGATCTACACTAGAAAATCAGACTGACCCACCAACGTGAGTGAACAATCCACCCCCCTGAGCAATGTAGTTAAACTGACCTAACACCCAGTGTGGAGAGCTCAGTTGGTGGAATAATTCTTCTGTTTACTTAGCGCTACCCGTCTCGGGGAGATGGATTTCCTCTAGCGATGGGATAACTCCTCCTGGTGCTGTACTATATGGCTGCCCAGAAAGTGGTAAACTGTTCAACTTTTCTTCCTCTATTATATGATTACTGGCTTTTAGCAATAAACCTGACTGATATTGATTGTTTGGTCTCTTGAATATGTTTCATAACGAGCCAAAGCTTGGGCAAGCAATTGACTATACTATTTAGCAACTGCTTTCAGGCTGTTTTATATGTGTATTGTTCGTTTTTGCCAATGAACTCACACAGGAAAATGATCAAAGACAAAAAGACTGTATCACCCGTGTGTGAACGCTTTTCTCAAAGCGATTGCTCCCTATCTGACCTTTCCATACTTGTCCTCAAAGGCAAACGGCACAACGCCTTCAAAAGGTGAGTCTGCTAGATACCAAAGCCATGGACTTACCAGGGACACTGGTTTTATGGCTCATTACAACAATTTGTAACACACCATGCGGCCCACCTCAAGCCCTTTATGCATAACACACTACCCCCCAATTGCTCACTTCATTTCCTGTGACCGCCTCCACCACGTATGACCCCTTCTGCTTAACAATCTGTGCCAACTTGTATTTTGCTCGCTCTGCCTCCTTCCCCAGAGCTGAAGAAGAGCTCAGAGTTGCAAGAAAGCATCTCTCAGAAGTTGGTCCAGTCAATTACCTCGCCCACCTTGTTTCTCGTTGCTTTTTTGTGTGAATTGTGCTCTCCTGGGCTTTACATGATCAAATATAATGAACATAAAGCTGATAGACTGAACAAAGAGTGTGTGTGTGTTTGTCTGTGTGTGTGTAACTCCTTCTCAACAGAGGCGTGTCCCTGAGAGGGTTAAACTGTAGGTCGGAAGCATGGCACCTTTTGGGTGGAGTTCTGGGGGAGGCTGGGTTTAAGGACGGGAGTCTGAAGGGTCAGCGCTGTGGCCAGAGGGGCAGGCAGCTGGACAGCAGGGTCCAACGCTAGGAAGGGGGTGCTACAGGGAACATCTGTGCCCTGGTAGTGAGCCTAGGTGCCCCAGGCTTGGGGCAGTGGTTGGTTTCTGTTCAGACCTCCGGAGCTTGAAACCCTTCGGAGATCGAGGTGCAGAGGCTTGGATTCCCCTCAGAGCAGTCCCAGTGGGTGGCCCTTTCCTCGAGCAGCAGCGCTCACCATCTGCACGTGGGTGACTTCCTCTCGCCCAGCCCTCGGGCAAGGGTGGACCCGGCTCCAAACGGATCCACCCACTTAAAGACTTTGCTGCCCTCCGCCCCTGCACCGTACACCTGGCAACCCATCATTCAAGCCGTGCTCCAGGGGTGTAGGGTGAATGGGGGAGGATGGGGGAGGGGGAGCTGCACTCCAGGGGTGGGGGGGTGAGTGGGGCAGGGCGGGGGAGGGAGAGCCACGCTCTGGGGGTGGGGAGGTGAGTGGGGAAGGGGGAGCCGTGCTCTGGGTGTGGGGGCGGGGGGGAGTGGGGCAGGATGGGGAAGGGGAGCCATGCTCCCAGGGCTGGAGGGGAGGGGGGAAGGACAGGGCAGGAAGAGCCATGCTCTAGGGCTGCGGGGTGGGGGGTGAGTGGGGCAGGATGCGGGAGGGGAAGCCATGTTCCAGGGGCCAGGAGATGAGTGGAGCAGGACGGGGGAGGGGAAGATGCACTCCGGGGGTCATAGGGGGTGAGTGGGGCAGGATGGGAGAGGGAGAGCCACACTCCGGGCATGGGGGTGAGTGGTGAAGGAGGAGCTGTGCTCTGGGTGTCAGGGGGGGTGAGTGAGGCAGGACAGGGCAGGAAGAGCCATGCTCCAGGGCTGTGGGGTGGGGGGTGAGAGGGGCAGGATGTGGTAGGGGGAGCCGCGCTCCACGGGTCAGGGGGAGTGGGACAGGGCGGGGGGGGGGGGAGAGCTGCACTCCAGGTTTGGGGGCGAGTGGGGCGGGATGTGGGAGGGGGAGCCACACTCTGGGGGTCACAGGGGGTGAGTGGGACAGAACAGGGGAGGGGGAGCCACTCTCTGGGGGTCAGGGGGCTGAGTGGGACAGGGCGGGGGAGGGAGAGCCGCACTCCGGGCGTGGGGGTGAGTGGGGCAGGACGGGGGAGCCCACAGTACCGCGATCCCCAGTTCCCATGTGCTCCTCCAGGTTCCAGCACCTTCTGCTCGTCCTGCCCCTGTGGCGGAGGCTGGTTATTGCGATTAACGGCACTTTTAGCGGCTAGTCAGCACTGCTGACCGGATACTGCCAGGTTCCCTTTTCGACTGGACTTTCCAGTTGAAAACCAGACACCGGGCAACCCTTACTCAGACTGAGGCTCGCGAGCCGCAAGAGGCTCTTTAATGCTTCTCCGGCGGCTCTTCGCAGCACGTGATATTGAAACACGGTGTGATTGAATTGTACCCTTCTGCCGGGTGGAGTCGGCAGCCACCAGGGCCGGGTTCAGTATCCAGGGGTCCCTCTTAACAATACACCACAGAACTGCCTCGAGCCCCCACCCAGCAATCTGGGAAAATCAAACTCCCCGGGGCGCCTGTAAGAGGCAACACTTCCCCTTTCACAAGCACTGAATCTGTGCATGGCCGAGAAAACGTTTAATAAAAAGGGGGAAAGAACCCGGCATTAATTGGGGGAAACCCCACAACCATGAGTCGAACACATCTGACCATGAGCAAAACTCCCACCCCAGAGGACACTGGGCCGTGTCCTTTGCCTCCGTTTTTTCACCGCGGTGTGAAAGTGCAACAAACAAACATCCCTTTAACACGCACTCCCCTCTCCCTCTGCCACACCCCACTCACAGCTGCTGTCCTTGGTCCGCAGAGACCCAGAGGTGCCTACACGTGAGTTCACACCTGGGGGGTGGGGGGCATCGAGCAATGCCTTCACTGCCCGCTGCTGTGTGTCATTCACTCCGCTGCTGTTGTTTGTGTCTCCGGTCACCACACCGCGCCATCCTCTCCATCACCGCTGGCCCTGTGCTGTCCCCTTCTGCTGGCACCTGCCTCTCTACTGTGACCTCAGCCAGGGAACCTCACCGCTAGTGCAGGCCTAGCCATCTCTTCCGCAGACACGCTGTCCCGCAACAGATCTAAACAGCCCTTAGACCTGATGGAGTCTAGGTACCTCTGTCTTTAAACTGGCCTGGCCTGGCCCCGCCTTGGCCCTTCTCCCTCACCACTGGGCTCTGGCATCCGAACCCCCTTTGTGAGCTCAGTTCAGCTGAGGGAGATCCCGTCAGCCAGGGCTGGCTAAGCACCGTTCTGCTGCCCGTTCCGCCCACAATCAGGAGGAAAACATTTCAGGCCCCCGCGTTCAAAAGTGATTTGTAACCCAGCACCAGCCAAAACTGATCACGTGGGCAATGCAGCTCTGTCTGCTGGATACCCAGGCCGAGCCGGTGTGTCTGTGTAGCCTCCCTCCCCTCCCGTCCCCGCAGCTCATCACTAGATGTCCGAGGAGAGCGGCTTCAGACCTTGCTTCCGTAATTATTGACCAGTCTAAGTTATTAACCAACCAGGGTGCTTTTAACCAATTGCAGTTGATAAAACAGTGATACTTGGTCAGTCGTTGTGGTGTGAGAATACATATATGTATAAACCGGACACGCTGGTTCAATATGACCATAGAGTCCTATAGTAAATGAAACTGCGAATTCACCCGACTGTGGCTCTCTTGGGTAATGCTGAGTCTTAATTTGTCTCCTGAGATCTGAGTATCACGGCTTCAGGTCCACAGTGTGATCCTGACAACCTGCCCAGTTATGTTATCTTTAAAACTAGCCTGGGGAGAACAGTCCTGCTCTGGGACAAAGGACCTAGCAGGGCTGTTCCCTTTTTGAATCTGTGACTCAATCAGGGTCACCACTGCGCGATGCAGGAGGCAGGGTGATGGGCGTTGCCCTGACATTGCCCCACCCAGTTTGCACCGTGGGAGCACCTCAGTCACCGCGTGCATAAGAAGCCCAGTCGGAGCTAACAGCAGAGCACCCGGGGCACCCACCCAGCCCACTAACCTTGGCCCTAGAGAGGAAGGCGCCTGGATGACTGAGAGATCCGAGGAGACCCAGAGCAGATGTCCGACGTGGCTGGAGAACCTCAGTGGGACGGGCAGGACCCAGGAACATGGACTGGGGGTCTGTCCCCTCCCCGCGGTGAGACATGCCAGCTCCTTTGCTGGCTGATGAGGAATCCGCTGCTCCGTGTGTTGCTTGTTTCCTGGGGGTGGCTGTCAGGTTCCTTCTCTTTTTGCTCCTTCGTGGTGCTGGAAGAAAGCTCAAAAAGCAGTTTGTTTTTTCCTCTTTTCAAAAACAGATCAGAAATGGGGGGTCTCACCTACCCTGCCATCCATGGAAGCCCCGGGGGTGACTGGGGAGCTGGCAGGACTGACAGCATCACACCCTGTGCAGGGGAAACCTCACTGCTTGGCAGGGGATGTGATTATTTTCCTCCAAAGGTTTGGAAACTATTTGACCCAACATCTGCTCCCATTTACACCAGTGTAAATCCTGAATCACACTGTTGCCTTCAGTCTAGATTTACACTGGTGTAATTGGGAGCAGAGTTTGGCCCTTTGGCTTCATGCTTTTCATTTTTGTGAGTGAACATTTAACTCAAATGCCTGCGACACAGTGGGGAGAAAAGCTCTTTTAGCTAAAGATGCTACACACAGATCCCTGCCCCTTCAATTATTGTCAGGCTTGATCAAAAGTGCATCCCACTCAGTGCTTCGGGTGGTGGTGGTGGGAGGTGGGGTAAGATCTAGGGTATGGCCAGGACAGGGTTATCAGAGCCATTTCCTCCCTTTCCAGATCCCCCCCTCACGAACCGGCAGCTGGTGATCACCACCGTGATCATCGTGGCCATCAAACTTCTCCTGATGACCCTGGTCCTCACCAGCAGTGAGTATCCACCGTGACCTGGGCCCCCTACCCCAGCCAGAGCTGGTCTGGTGAGGGCTAGTCACCTTCTGAGACAACATGGACTAGTAGAGCAAGTATGGGACTAAGTCTTAGGAGACCAGGATTCTATTCCAGCTGTGTGACCCTGGGCAAGTCACATCAATGCCCTGTGCCTCAGTTTCCCCATCTATAAAATGGGGCTTATGAGCCTGACCCCCTTCACAAAGTCCTTTGTGTGCTCTACTGATGAGAAGGGGGAGGCATTATGATTAGGGTTTGAGATTCCCCCCTCCCCAAATCCTGCTCATCCCTGCCCTGAGGAGGTGAGAGCCCCAATGGAGTGAGGGAGCCCCTTGCTGGGATTCCTGCCCCACCCAGCTACAGAGATGACAGACCAGACTGAGGAGCTGCCAACCTGCCCACTGGGAGAGGCGTGTGATGTGTCCCTGAGGCTCACACTGGGGCTCTGCTACGTTTCTTAGATGGCCCATCATCAGACGTGGCCGGGGACTCCAGCCCCACAACTGAGAGGGGCCCGGCCAGTAAGATCAGGGCTGGGGGGGTAGGGATAAATGGGAGGTGCTCTCTGGGCTCCTGTTGAATGTTCCTAGTCTTCCTTTCCTTAATGTCCCACCCTGTGCACTGGGAACAGGGACGGCACCATACGGGGCATAGGGAGGGGAATGAGCAGCCAGCGGGGATGGGGGTGCTGCAGTGTCTCTTTCCAATTTAGGGGTGTCGGGATCAGGGGTGGTTCAGCCTGTAGATGAGGTGGGGGAGAAAGATGCTGGAAAGTCTTGATCTGGTTTAGAGGTGCAGGGAGGTGGGGATCAGGCACTAGGCAAGGTTCAGGTGTTGCAGCCTCACCCTCTGGGGTGTGGGGAGGTGGGGTGAACAGCACCCTGCGGGGTGGGGGGTGTTTCCTATCAATGGCCCTGAGACTAACACAGGCCGTGCTCAGTTTCACAGGCTGCCCCTTCTTCCACCGAGCCAGGAGACGCTGGCCGCACGACCAAGGGGAGCACAGCAGCTAAGAGCAGAGTGGGGAGAATGCAAATGCAGTGTCACGTTCTAGCTGGGGGGGTCCCCCCTAGTTGGGGTGGGGGGCTGCGGAATCTCCCTTTAGTGCAGGGGGTGGGGCTGGGGGCTGGGAATGGGGCCCTGCCACTCGCTCTGTGAGAGCAGAGCCCATTAGGATGGATGGAGGGGCCCCCTGTGCCCCATGTCGCCACCTGTAGTGTCTGCTTTCACGTGTGGCTTCGGTCTCCTGTGGGGTACCCACACCTGCTGTGGTTTGGCCTGTGCTCTGTGCCTGGTGGGGGGAGGCACATGTGGGGGAGAGATTGGCCCTCTGTCGACGCATGGGGGGGTGGGATGGATGCTCCTCAGGGGCACGAGGGGGGGTGGTATGAGCCCCTCAGCGGAGCGTGTGGAGGAGGGAATGGCCCCTTGTTGGCATGTGGGGAGGGTCGAATCAGCCCCTCGTTGGTGCATGGGGAGGGAGGGATTGGCTCCTCGTCTGCATGTTGGAGTGAGGGATCAGCCTCCTGTTGGCACGTGAGATGGGGGATTGGCTCCTCGTTGGCTCGTGGGGTGGGGAGATCGGCCCCTTGTTGGCACGTGAGGTCCTTGTCAGCATGCGGGGAGATGGGATTGGTCCGTCATCGGCATGTGGGGGGGGCAGGGATCGGCTCCTTGTCGGAGCATGGGGAGGGAGGGATCAGCCCCTCATTGGCGTATGGGATGGGGGGATCGACCCCTCGTTGGCGTGTGGGGAGGGAGGGATAGACTCCTCGTGGGCACGTGGGGAGGGAGGGATCGGCCCCTCATCAGCCTGTAACGTGGGGGGATTGGCACCTCTTTTGTGCGTTGGGTGGGGAGGGATCGGCCCCTCAACGGCACGTGGGGAGGAGCGTTGGCATGTGGCGGGGAAAGGGATCAGCCCCCTTGTCAGCACGTGGTGGGGAGGGATCAGCCCCCCGTCAGCATGTGGAGGGGAAGGATTGGCCCCTCGTCGGAACGTGGTGGGGAAGGGTTGGCTCCTCGTTGGAGTGTATGGAGGGAATGATCAGCTCCTTGTTGGTAGTGGGGAGGGAGGGATTGGCCCCTCATCGGCACATGGGGTGGGGGGATCGGCCCCTCGTTGGCTCATGGGATGGGGTGTTTGGCTCCTCATTGGCGCGTGTGAGGGAGGGATTGGACCGTCGTCATTACATGGAGAGGACGGATAAGCCCCTTGTCGGCACGTGGCAGGCAGGGATTGGCCTCTCGTCGACACGTGGGGAGGAAGGGATCGGCCCCTCGTCGGCACATGTGGTGGGGGGATTGGCCACTAGTCAGTACATCGGGTTGGGGGATTGGCCCCTCATTGGCACATGAGGTTGGAGGATCCACTCGTCGTCGGTGCGTATGGGGAAGGATTGGCCCCTAAGTCAGCACAAGAGGGGGCAGGAATGGGCCCCTCATTGGCATGTGGGGAAGGAGGGATCGGCCCCTCGTTGGCGTGGGGGGGGGGATTCACCCCTCATTGGCACGTGGGGAGAAGGGGCTCACAGCTGTGTTGTCTCTGGCAGATGCTTTCTGGTGCCAGTGGGGCTGGGACGAGCACCAAGGAAGGTGCTATCTTTTCTCCCAGACTACCCAGTCCTGGGAAGCAGCGAGAAACTTCTGCTTAGCCAAGAATGCTGATCTGGTGGTGATCAACAATGCAAGGGAGCAGGTACGAGCCCTCAGCCCTACCCTAACCTGCGGTGGAATGACCCCTGGACAGTGGGCCGGCATGAGGCTTCGGCTCTGTTTGGGCCTGAGGGGAAGAAAGGAACGGTGGGAGTGGGAGTCCCCAGCCCAGGGCAGGAGCAGGACTCCAGCAGTGACAAGGGCTAGCCCTGGCCCCCACACAGGGGTGAATTTTGCCCGCCTGGGGCAGGAGGGACTCGGGGCAACAGCAAAGAGAAGAGACAACGTGGAGCAAATGGTGGGGAATTTTGAGGCGGGCTCGGAAAGCAGAGCTGCGCGGCAGATAAGAGAGGTGGTTACCCGGCAGGGTTGTCAGACTCCCTGGGGGGCTGGGAACACGAAACTATCCTGCCAGAGGTGGATTCCCACCAGACTGCAGAGCCCAGGGGCGTCTGCTGGCAGGGGAGAGCCAGGACACTGGCACTGGCTTTTATTTTTCCGGGTGGGTGCTCCACCCCCCTTCGGCCCCGCCTACACTCCACCCCTTCCCCCAAGGCCCTGCCCTTGCCCCACCTCGTCCCACACCTGCTCCGTCCCCTCTACCAAGCAGCTCCCACCGGCTGCCAAACAGCTGATCAGGCGGGGTGGCGAAACAACTGATGGGCGCCCACGGGGTCGGCGCCTATGGTGGTGAATGTATTTCCTTTGGTCAGTGCTTTCCAGTGCCAGGAATGGGCCAGCACCCTGGCCGGCGCACAGCAGCCGTCATCGGCGCGATCCCGATTGACATCAGCTGGGGATCCAGCCCAAAGATCCTGCAACAGGACCGTGGGTGACAATTCTGATAAGGCCTGAACCAGACCAGGCCCTGGCTGGCTCTGCTGGGCGAATGGGAGGGAAAAGCAGGAATGACTTAGGTGAGCCCCTGTGGCCAGCAGCTCTGGCTCATACCCACAGGGATGGGGGAGCCCATCTGGGGCAGGCTTTTTACAGTCACTTTCACAGTGGAAGAGCCCTTTGGAAAGAGGAACTCGGGCGGTGTATTCATAACGCTCACCCTTATCTCCTGCTGGACCCTGTCGTAATAACTGGCCTCACAAATTCACCCTCACTGTGACCGCAGCTGTAAAAGTTTGTGAGCGTTCCTGAGATGGCACAATGACCGGGCTGATGGAAAACGGTCCCAAACAGGTGGCAGATGGAGTTAGTCCAAACAAAAGAGCCTTCTGCTATAACTCAAGGACTGGGTTCAGATCACGCCTGGCAAACAAGAAACGTGTGGAACCAGAAAGGAGTGAATCCAGTGTTGGAGATTAAACATACGTGGTGGCCCAAGGAACGAGGGGATGGGCTTTTCCACCCATCGCTCCCTTTTGGGGCCCTTTTGGGGAGAAAAACAGGGTACTGGCACGAGCTTCACCCTCATGGCTTCCCCCCCCGCATCTCCTGGGGCCTTTGCCATCCTGAGCCTGAGACGTGCTGACCAGACGGGGCCAGAGAGAGGGACCCCGATGACGTCGCCTCTACCGGCTCCAGCTAATCCCAACCACCACCGGGGATGAAACGGGTCGGATGGAACAGCAGCAGCCGCTCCCGCCCGTCTCAGCAGCTGGACGGTTGTCACCAGTTCTGATACCATCTAAGAGACAGTGCAGGGTTTACAATGGCGCCAACGGCGCTGGGGCCCACACTGAGAAGGGGCCCCGGCGCCCGGACTGTGGCCCTGCCCCCTGCCTTCTGCCCAGGCTTTGCACCAGCGCCCCGCCCCCCACAGCCCCTCCCCGCCTGCCGCTCACTCCTCTCCCCCCTCTCCCAACCCTGCGAGCAGTGGGCGGGGCCTTGGAGGGGATGAGGCTGAGCAGGGGCGGGGCCTTGCGGCAAAGGGTGGGCGGAGCAGGGGGCGGGGCCACAGTCCGGGTGCCAGGGCCCACAAATGGTTAATCCGGCCCTGCTAAGAGCCTGTCACACAAGGGGGGGGCGGGTTCCTTCTAAAAGCTCGGCTGCTGAAGGGGACGGGACCAAGGGAGGCTGTCGGAATGAAAACCTGGCTTAGTGCTTTACAGTTCAAAGGCTTTCCCTTGTTTTCTCTTCTTTGCCTTGTCTTTGATCAAAGGTTAAAAGGGTTTTCAAGGGAACAAAGCAGGCCGGGTTAGTGCTGTTTAATGTCGGCCAACGGCTGGGTTCTGGTAACACCTTAGGACCGTATATTCCAGCTAAATTAACACCACAGGCCCTCCTGGACTCCCTGTGCATTACCCTCCCCTGCTGGGATGTGCCCAAGTTTGACTGCAGGGTTGGGATCTGTTTGGTGCGGTGTGATCTATGCCACAGCCCCCTCTGTCCCACTGCAGGACCCAATACCCTCCCCCACCCCGTTCCAACACCATCCACACCCCCAGGCTCGGTGCCTCCTCTCCCCACCCCAGGCCTAGACCATCGCCAACCCCTGCTCCTCCGCTGACGTCTCTCCATCCCCCCCACCCTCCACTCGAGGGAGAGGAGAATCGGGCTCCTTGCCTCCTCCTCTGGCGTATGCAGCACTGAGCGCACTCGCTGATGGCCGAGTGCCCAGGCCATCCCTGGGGGTTAGTTCCTGGCACGGGAGATGCCTCAGGATCTGGCTCCAGTTCTAACCACCCAGTCCTCTGTGCTGTCCCCTCTCTAGAATTACTTGGCCATTAAAGCTGATTCTGTTCGTCACTGGATCGGCTTCACAGACCAAAGGATTGAAGGCGTCTGGCGCTGGGTGGACAATACTCCTGAGGCATTTACGTAAGCATGGGGCGATCCTCTGCTCTCCCCTTCCTGCCCCTGGCCTTCCCCAGCTGCCCCTGCTCCTGCAGGCACTTTCCACCGCAGTAGCTCCAAGGCTGAGACCAGGGATGGAGCCGCTCGGGTTTGATTTCATACCCTGAGGACTGAACGACTTGAGGCTCTATCGGTCGCCCGCAGATCACTGGTTCAAATCTGGCCCAGGTCTCTAATGACCAAATGGCATTGCTGCTGGGTGCAACTCTGTATGAAATGAGCTTGCCGGGTCTCAGCCCAGCTCCCAATGGGTAAAGCATCCACAGATCACACTGGGTGCTCGTTGGCCATCACAGCCAATGGTCCAAGGACGGAATGGGTCATGGGGACAGAGCACCCCTCTCAGCCTACAGAAGGGTCTCTCCGAGGCTGGTCTGATCTGAGACACCATGGTGAGGGGAAGCTTGTGCTGCCATGGCGTGTGTGGGGAGCAGCCTCTACCCCTGCACAAGGGCCTTCAACAGCACAGCCCTCCACCACTTATGCCATTAACTGGTAGTAGGTGGTTATCCTCTAGTGGGCCAATCATGATGCCTGCCCTATGAGCAGGTAACACTGTCTCTGGCCCCACATTCATTTGGATACTTCGGAATAAAAGATCTGTCTCCTCTAGGGGGAATGTCACAAACCCTTGAGACTGGGGTGCAAACTGTTCAACCCCCCTTTCCCCCACCCCTTGCAGAGAGTATTCAGCCTGCCATCATGGGCAGCCATATTGTTCCCTCTACTTGCTTTAATCCCTCCTAGCGCTGGCCAAAGTCAATGGAATGGGCCCAATACTCCGTTGCTCAATGGCCCTTTACTCTGCTCTGGCAGCATCAAGGGATTCTGAAGGATATTTAATCTCCTCCGCCACCCTCACCCAGGATATAACCAGCATAAAGGGGCTGGGGAAGATCTGGGACAACAGATCCTGGCGCAGGGGTGGGGCTGGCTGTTATAAGCTTCTCAGAACCCCACCAGGGCCCGAGCATAAGTTAAATGAACCCTAAATGAGGCTGCTCTAGGTTACACTGAGGGTGGGGCTGAGCTTACTGGGGGTGTGTCTCCCCTGGGACAGGGAGTCGGTGGGCTAAGGGCTCTGAGGGCTCGTCTCTCTCTTCTCGTTCAGGTACTGGAACACAGGGGAGCCCAATAACCTCAGAAACGGACTCAGGGACGAGGATTGCGCCCACCTGCTGGAGAACGGCCTGTGGAACGATGTACCCTGTAGTATCTCTTACAGGTGGATCTGTGAAAGGGCCGCCACTGTGTAAACAGCTCCCCCTCCCTCCGGCTCTGAACACAGGCTGAAATTCATCCCCCCCGCCGCGAGGCCTGGGCTCCGCTCATGGCCTGCGCATCAGCCCATCAGCCCGTCGGTGTGAAGATGATGTAACTGGAATATGCTTCACGCAAAAGGTCTCTTGTAAGGTATCATTACAAAGCCTATAATCTACTGAGTGGGGTCATCCTATTTGTATGAATGTATCATTCTTGTATCTGAAACTAGAAATCCAACACTACAATACCTTTCTCCCCTCCCTCATGGAGATAACAAGCCTGCACCCAGTGCAGGCGTCCCGAGGGGAGGAGGGTGCTGGGAGTTGGTCCCTTGCTCTGAAAGGGCTGGGAGCCAGGACTCCTGGGGTCTATCCCTGGCTCTTGGAGGGGAGGGGAGTCTAGTGCTTAGTGTGGAGTGGGTCTTGAGCTCCTGGTCCTCCACAGTCACCTGGAAGAACTAGGAGGCACTGCGGCAGGGAGCTTAATAAACATGGGCACTTCCCAGTCAGAGAGGTCACCAGTTGCTGCTTGAGGCTTGGCTCTTTGTCTTTGTCATGAGAAGCGAGTGAAGGGAAGAAGAGGCACTCCCAGTGTGGTGAGTGAGTGCAAAATCCAGGAGCACACCTGGGCAAGCTGCAGCAGGAAGGAGGCAGAGCCCTGTCTCAGTGCAGTGATGGAGCCCACAGCCCAAGGGGCTCCATTAGAGAAACTTAGTTTTGGGAACCCAGGTAGCTGGAGCTGGCAATTTGAGCAACTCCACATGGCATCCTGTTTAACAGCGAAAGCACAAGGATACTGGCTAAATGCCCTGATCTTTGCCTTGGGTCCTGCTGCCCTACCCCTCAGTGAGGTGGAAAAGAACGAAACTTCAAAGAGAAAGAGGCTTATTTGATGCCCAATTCATAGGCAGACAGAATATTATATGTGAAAGGGCCAAATTTAACAGGAGGCACCAGGAACAAGGGAGCATCAGCTGAGACTTTTATTACTGCAGTTGCTAGTCTTGCTGAACATTACAGATATGGTGTGATGCTGGTAAAGCAAGTACGAGCTCCGGCCATGGCCTTAGGCGTTCATTAGGACCTGACAAACTCATAGCTGGAAACCAGACCAGCTCACCTGTATGTTAGTTTTGTTCAAAGTAGGTCGTAGACTTATAACACTGTATTCATTGTGTAGACTCATGAATTGCTGGCTGTGTTAATCTCACTTGTAATGTCTGTATTCAAGGCTCTAAGCACATTTGAACGTTTTGCTTTGTAACTTTGACAATGTTGGCTCTGAATTTGTGACCCCAGGCAAGAGACTCATCCCCCCTCCCCTTGCCCACTTGTTCAGGAGGCCTAGCAAGATTAAATGGGCTATTAAGGAATATCACAACACAAAGGATTGGTGAACGGCCCTTTGAAGCTTTGGGAACATGACATGCAGAGAGTGGAAGACTAAGGTCTGGTCTGCCCTATATCTAGGGCCCTACCAAATTCATGGTCCATTTTGGTCAATTTTACAGTCATAGGATTTTAAAAATCATAAATTTCATTATTTCAGCTCTTTAAATCTGAAATTTCATGGTGTTGTAATTGCAGGGGTCCTAATCCAGAAACGAGCTGGGGTGTGTGTGTGTGGGATGCATGGCTAGAAAGGGTTAAACATCCTGCAAAATAAATAACCCTCAAAAGACATGTGGGGAGATAATGTTTCTGTTTTTATGTATTTACATATGTATGAGTAGGGTGGACAATGTAATCAACAGTCCCTGTCTGTGCTGTATTCTGACAACTGAGGGCTCAAAAGAACATCCTATCATGTGAATGAATTGTAAACGGGATATCTCGGTATTCATCTCTCTTTGAAATGTACTGTAAATGGTGGGGGAAGTAATCAGTGATGGACCTCCTTCAAAGTCATCCTAATTACCTTTTGTTCCCCAAGGAAATCCCAACTTGTCAAAGAGGACATGACATTGTATAAAAGAGCCTTGGGTCCTGATTCTGTGATCTCAGATCTGCTTAGACTTCATCAGGGGAAGTTTGAGTCACAAGACTGAGGTCCCAGTTATGCAGGTACACCCTGAATATCAGATTTGGACATTGGACTATCACCTATGAACTATTTCCAAAAGAACTCTTTGCCACTACAAAGCTCACTGTCTCTGCTATGAATCTGCACCTCAATGGATTGAACTCATGTCTGTCTGTACATTGATCTTTTAACCAGACTCTCTCTGTCTTTTGTCTTTTAATAAATTTTAGTTTAGTTAATAAGAATCGGCAGTAGCGGGTGTTTGGGTAAGATCGGAAACATGCGTTCACCTGGGTGGTGACGTGTCCGACCCTTCGGGATTGGGAGAACCTTTTCTTTTATAGGATGAAATAAGATTTTCAGAAATCATCATATTTGATGTGGGTACCTGGATGGAGGCCTGAGGCTGGATCACTTTAAGGGAACTGTGTTGTTTGGACTTCTGAGTAACCAGGAAGGTAACAAAGAAGCTGTTTTATGCTGGCTCGGTAAACCTAAGTATTGGAATATCCACCAGCTTTTTGGGGTTTGGCTTCCTCCAAGAGACTGCTCCAAAGTCTGGGGCGTGGCACCGATCCTGTGGATCCGTGAGAGCTTGCCTCTGCACTGTCGCCAGCAGAACGTTGGATGGGAAGGTCGCCTTTCCCTGGGGCACCGATACAGTTATGACCTGCGTGGCCCAACCTGAAGGGATTTCAAAAATTGGGACACTGAGATAAAAATTTGGCCACAACAAAACTTGCACATTTGGCACCGAACAAGCAGCTGCCTGAACTGAGGCCAGGGAACAAAGCATGGATCAAAAGCTCCCAGGCTGTCAGAACTGGTAAGAAGCCCCCAGATCCTCCTTAGCGGAGCTGCTATGGGGGGAGGGATAGCTCAGTGGTTTGAGCATTGGCCTGCTAAACCCAGGGTTGTGAGTTCAATTCTTGAGGGGGCCATTTAGGCATCTGGGGCAAAAATTGGGGATTGGTCCTGCTTTGAGCAGGGGGTTGGACTGGATGATTTCCTGAGGACCCTTCCAACCCTGAGATTCTATGGTCTCAGCATTTCCCAATGTGATGAAGAGAGGCTCTGGGACCTGCCGGTGCCCTGCCAGGCAGAGTGCACCTCAGGAGACGTGAGAACATGCAGTGGCAGGACCAATCAGACCCCCTCAAAAATTTGATCTTTAGACTGCTGCTCAGGGCCATTTACATGGAATTGATAAGGAGTCATGGTGGTGTAAATCATTTAAAGGAATATCAAGTTTCTTTGGAATTGCTGGGATATACGTTGGGTAATAATTTAAGTTTTAACCTTTTATTATAAAGGAAGGGAGGTGTGGAGTAATTATACAGCTCCTGGCCTTCCACAGTTACCAGAGAGAAGCAGGAGCTGTTGCAGTGGGGAGTTTAATAAACATGGGAACTTCCCGCTCCCATCGCTATTTAAGACATGGCTCTTTGTGTTTGTCCTCACACTATAGTTATCCCAGGAGGCTGGGCGTTAGGACTCCTGGGTTCTAGTCTCTGTTCTGGGAAGGGAGGGGAGTCTCGTGGTTACAGAAGGGGGGCAAAGGCGCCGCTCCGTGGGTGCTCCAGGGCTCAAGCACCCACAGAAAAAACAACAGTGGGTGCTCAGCACCCAGGAGTCGGAGCTTGAGTGTGGAATGTGACGCGTTCTGTGCTGCTAACAACTTTTGCCCTTGGGGCAGGGAGTTTATTTATAAACAGGTTTCAGAGTAGCAGCCCTGTTAGTCTGTATCCGCAAAAAGAGCAGGAGTACTTGTTAGTCTCTAAGGTGCCACAAGTACTCCTGTTCTATTTATAAACAGGGGCAGGGTGATTAAGAGAACAAAAGGCTTGTCATTAAATTAAATTAAGGATCATTAGATGATCCTGAAAGCATTGCCAGACACTCCAGTTAAAGGACAGGAAACAAAGGGCAGGAATAAATGGTCCATTTTCAGAATGGGGAGAGGTAAATAGTGGTGTCCCCAGGGGTCTGTACTGGGACCAGGGCTGTTTAACATATTCATCAATGAGCTGCAAAAGGGGGTAAACAGTGAGGTGGCAAAGTTTGCCGATGATACAAAATTACTCAAGCTAGTTAAGTCCAAAACAGACTGCGAAGAGTTACAAAGGGATCTCACAAAACCCGGTGACTTGGCAACAACATGGCAGATGAAATTCCATGTTAAATGCAAAGTAATGCACATGGCAAAATATAATCCCAACTATACATACAAAATGTATAAAAGAAGTATACGTGACACTGCATTCAGGGCCGTCCTTAGGATTTATGGGGCCCTACGCAGTATTATTACACTGGTGCCCCTCGCAGCTCGGGGCAGGAGGGACGAGGCAGCGAAGGATACCGAGACGCCCAGCCTGCCTCCCGGCAGCGGAGAGTCACAGTTCCCCGCAGAGAGCCCCGGACCCTCCCGGACCCTCTCCCTCACGCAGAATACGTGATGCCGGCGCATTCGGCCCCTGCCTAAGGACACTGCAGCGCGCGCCGGGTGTGCGGGAGCTGACCCGCTCTTACCCGCTGTCATGGACGGTGGGTGAAGCTGCCACTTGGGGAGGCTCGCTCCCCAGCCCACCTCTTCTACCTGTGGCCCCACGCATACTCCACCCCTGCTCTGCCCCAGGCCCCGTCCCCACTCTGCCCAGGCCCTGCCCTCTTACCACAGTCTCCCTCCTCTCTTCCCTCCACCTCCCTGCTCACCCCCTTCCAGCCAAATCCCTGAACCCAAATGAAGCAAATGAATTAGAAAGGAATTGCAGAAGAGTGGGGGTTTTTTTCAAAAGAAAATGGAGCATGTTTTCCACTGCATGCCAGAAGGTGAAGACTGGACATGCAGAAGGTACCTAATTAAAAGCACTAAATTTAGGAATAAAAAAGGTCAGTCATGAGGTTTTTGATATGCCTTGAAGTTTGTCAGAGATTTATTTGCAAGAAATTTACTTTGTAGTAAGGGCAAGTCAGCTGTCCTGCTGAATACAGCATTAAACATTATGGAATAGATGATGTAGCTATTCTCTGTTTTACATTTCTTCATCAGTATTTCTACGATGATTTTGTTGGAGACACTGGGCACTACTCTAGGTAACTCGGGAGGGTGGAAGACCACGAGTGTCGATGAAGCCCTCCTGCTCTAGGCCCAGGCAAACCGAAGCTCCTCCATTCCTTGAACTTTCTGTAACCCTGCAAACCTATGAGGAAGCTAACACACAAACAGACATGTTAGCACACGGCTCGCTGGCCGAAACCAGCTTCGGCCGGGTAAACGTATAGATAAGGAAGAAATGTTTAGCAAAAGCTAGTAACGAGTATAACCAAACAAGGCCAGGCTTGAACAATGCTAATCAGGAAAAATGTAACTGGCTGCTTTAGATGATTGGCTGTGCTATTGTATGGGGCAACAGGTAATATGCTTGTATATGCTTGTGTCGTTAAGGAGAAACAAAGGTATAAATTGTATGGCGTAACCTGCATTTGGCGTGCAGGATTTGAGACAGCTCAGTCTCCCTGTGTCCCTGTTTGAAGCTTCAGATAAAACTCTCGGCTTCTCCACCCCGTTGTGGTCATTGGCGCGACGCATACCGGGCAACGAACCCTGCTGTTGCTTGCCTCGGGCACTCTGTGCCGGCAACAATTTTATCTTTTAAATGGACTGTTGAGCCTTCATAAAGTAACCATTCCAGATTACTACATATTTAACTCACTGAAACAGTGACATTCTTTTAAATTAATCAGTCACAGAGGATTAGGGTGTTCATAACAATGTTAATTGCTTTTAGAAAAAGGGAACACTAATTTACTTTGTGTGATCTCCATAACAACAGACACATTTATGAAGTTTCACCAACTTTAAAAAATATGTTTCCATAGATTTTAGGCATAACAAAGGATTTTATATCTTACTAAGGTACTGATTTTGCTGGAGGGTTCTCTTAAAACTAGTTCATCAAATAGTCATGTCGAGGACTCGAACCCCAGACGGCACGGTTCGTTGTCTGACCGGAGAGAGACAGTTAACACCAGCAAGGTCCGAACACAAAGCTCTTTACTGAAGAGTGCACACAACAATGGGGAGCAGCCCGTCTCCAAAGAGAACCAGCCGGCCTCTAAGTAAAACTCATAGGTTTTTATAGACAGTTCCGTCACGTCACAGATTTATTCATAAAGCAGCCCACCCCTCCCCTATGTTAGTTAAAATCCTCTTTCTCTATTATGCATGCACTTCTACCCCCTTATTGTAGATAACTTTTAGCAAATCATAATGCTTCACTAACTTTATCGATATGGGTGTCAACCAGGAGACGAGGAGTTAAGAACAGACATAACACAAAAACAAGGAGTGGAAAACAGTGCCTCCGTATCTCAACAAGACAGTTCCCAGAACATCTGGTACAAAAATGCAGGAATGCAGACCTCCTCTTTTTTCTTACTCCCTGCAAATTAAACAAGTATTCTTTTATTCTATTTATCTCGTTCAGGGACTTTTCCAGCAACCTTTATTGGCCTGACTTTGGTTCAGTTGGTGTAACTGCTTCATATTTAATTTTTCTCACCTAACAGTCAGAAGTAAAGAAAGGGAAACTCATTTGTCCAGCTATCTGGCAGGAAAGGCGTGTTGTCCTTTTAAGGGCTAGCCTCTCTTCAACGCGGGAGTGGGGGAGAAGGATGGACAGAAAGGACAGGAAGACTTTGGAAGCAAGTTTTTTGTACCATAGTCATTAAAATTAAAATGTGTATTTTAGATAAGGGTGGTCCTTTGAAGGATTTATTTAAAAAACTATATGTCTGAAGATCCAAGCATTTAAGGCTAAAGAATACTCAGATTGTGCATCTAAAAATCTATGCAAGGATTTTTTAGAGATGTGATTTTATCATCTTCAGCAACACACTAATGAAATATTTTTAAAGTAAATTTTAAACTAAGGTCCTGTAGACTAACATGTTCGGAGTAAATATTACAGTAATTCACAACTGCTTTTGTCAGTAAATTCAGAAACTGACAGTATATACCTTTAAATGCCTGTTAAATGGCTTCGTTACCACTTGAATGGCTCTTTAACAGTTTCAGTGTTGTGCTAATAGGTCTGGCAGGCTGGAAAGTTTTTCACTTTTAAGTTACTAGATCCCCTCCGGAGGAAGACTCACCAGCCTGCAGCAGCCAGCTGTGGTGGGAGCCTGCAGGAAGGGTCAGAAC